ATGATTCAAGTATATGCTGCAAAAGTGACCAAATAAAAATTTTTTGCTATCTCAGTCTATAACTGCATGAGCTCTGTAAAAACTTATTACAACAAAAAATCCAGATCAACTCAATTTAAACCATCACGCTTTATTTTCATAAAGAAATGCAAAAATCAGGTACTTTCATGTGAAACTAACTTACATCATCTGTGATTGCAGCAGCAACACGATCAGTATCGATTACTGGCGCTTTCGGGCCTCCATTCAATGGATGCTGAAACAGACATACAGAACTGGTCTTTCAATACAGGAGCAAATAACACCCATAAATTAAAGATGATTCAATAACTTACAATTATAACTTTAGCTGCATTATTGATACCGGCACCGACTTTGAATACGCCGCCGTAAACTTGGTCGGGTACAGATAAAACAGTACTCCCGACGGCTTTGACGCCCAGTTTTATAGGATCAAACATTGCAGACATCACCTAAATGTTGCACAGTAGCAGTGTTGATTTCGGCATTTGAGATAAACTTACATTAGTCCAATCAAACGGAACATTGAGAAAAGGTAAACTCGGAAAACCTAGAATAAAAGTAACAACCTTTTTAGCTATTGGTTCTCTGTTTCCCAGATACTCCTTCTGGCTGAGAAAATCGAACATTATATTCTCCAATTCAGGATAACTATCAAACATGGAAGGTTGAAGGACACATTCCAAAAACAGATTAAGAGCCTATAAACAACAACATTTCAACTTTGCATATGTTCTAACAAGACATTGATTGCACCTTCGTCCTTTTCTCCAAGAAATGTGCATCCAAGTTATTGAAGGTCTTTTTCCCCGGAAAAGACAAATTGGCAAGCTTTGGATACTTAAAAGCTCGTTTATAGAATATGAAACAAACAATAGAATATCAATTTTTGAACCTTTTGTATAATGAAAGCATGGAGAGTGTGGAAGTCGCTGTATCGCCGTAACACATTCCATCCACTCACTTTTTTGCCATTGACTGATCTACTTACACGCACATTGTAAAGTGCAAACGATTGCCTTCCCTATAAAAATGAGAGGTCAAC